CTGGCAATGAAGCCAAGGAACTGGGTCCTTCATCTCAGATGGATATAAATAAAGAGAGGAATTTTGTCTCATGAACTATTGTCCATGGACTTTCATGCTAGTCAGTTGGATACTGGCCTACCCACTTAAGGTTTTTCACAGGCACCCATATGGGGTTTGAATCTCCTGTAGGGTAGACACACCCAAAGCCTCGACCCATGGTTAGCAATGGATCTGAGCCTCTCCGCTGCCCCATAATGGGGTCCTTCCACCTTACCCTACCTCAGGTCTCTGCTCCTGTTGTCCCCAATGCTTCTGAAACTGGGATTCCAACTGATTTTTCTGAAAATGAAGAACATTAATAGTGAATAAGGCCATACCCAACTGTTGGTGGGGGCTTATTCCCCCTTTTTGTTTTTGTAATTGAATTTTTAGGTTTTGATGGTTGTGTTCTACAATAGCTTGACCTTGGGGATTGTAGGGAATTCCTGTATTGTGTTGAATTCCCCAAAGCGAAAAGAAATCTTGTAAATTTTTACTCACAAAACATGGTCCATTATCAGTTTTAATTCTTTTTCTTTGTTTTTTTTGTTTGTTTTGTTTTTAAATGCTTTCATGGGAGCCCCTGACTCACGCACGCATTAGTTCAAGGTGGGTGGGGTGGGCTTTTGCTGCCAACCCTGTGTGCTCCGCTCCACCCCACCCTTCTGCCCCGGAGGCTCTGAAGCTGGCCAGGGCTTGACCGAGGTGCCGCTTGTTACTTTGGCCACTTTTGGGTTCACTTCTGTTGCATCTCCGCGTTCTTCCTCAAACCCTTCCCATGATTCCCATGTATCCCCAGTAAAAACATTAGCCCCAAGTAGCCAGGGAGCCAAATGAATCACCTCTGCCCAAACCTTTTGAGCTACGGGATCTGACAGATCTAATCCCCTGCTTTTAAGCATATCTCGGCCGGGTCCTCAGACTTAAAAGTTGTGTTACCCATCTTTTGGGTCTTGCTTACCCCAAACTTCCTCCGATTGGCCCCAATCCGTTTCTCTTCTTTCTTCTTTCTTTTCTTTTCACCTTCCTTCGAGTGTCACGCTGGGTGCCAGTTGCCGGGGGTTCGAACCAGAGACCCCTGCGCAATGATGATTGGGGATGAGTAAGCACGCCATTTGCCAGCCCACGCCGCCCCCAGTACCGGGAACACTCAGGCACAACAGGGAGCCTAGTCAAGCAGGGACTCATTTATTGCAGGTGTTACAGAGCTTATAAAGGCACCTGGAACTCCCCCCTCCCCCACAAGGGTGTATCTTAAGGATGGTTACGCGATGATCACACACTCCTCAGCAGTGCGGAAGTATTCTTCAGACTTTCAAAGCAAGCCAGGCCACGCCCCCAGTAACTTCCTCCTGGATCTCTGCAAGGTGGGGCTTTTAGGTCCCCACAGGAAGATTCTTAGTCCAAGACTTTTCCTTCTGAGCACTTCCTTTCCACCTTGGTAACCATTGAGCATGAGACTCTCACCCTTCTCAACGTGGAGGATGTAGAGCTGCCATTGGGAAAATCAGGAAAAGATGAGGGTCATCCCTGACCCATCACCCTGATGTGCTGGCTGGCACTGTTCTGTTGGTGGGTTCAGCAGTTCCATATCATTATAAATAGGTCAGATGTGCCCGTGTTTAAAGTGCAGAGGGCACAGGAAGGTGCACATCGAGCAGTGAGCCTGCCTCTGGCTCTCCTGGCAGACGGCCGTCAGTTCTTCTGTACCCTTCAGATGCTGTTGCACATCTGCTGTGTGTCCTGCGTCCTGTGTGGGCCACATGTGCCTTGTGCTAGTGCCACCACATGTGTCTTCGTGTCGCTGCCACGTGGCAGGTATGCACACTTATCCATAGTAAACCCGGGGTGGGGGCAGTTACTAGGTCTGAGCTGTGTCTGTTTCCATTTTATTTATTATTTGTGGTGGGTGTGGGTGTATGTTTGTTAAGTGTGCACATGCCACAGACACAGAATATATGTTGAAGTCAGCCGACAACTAGTGGGAGTTGGTTCTCTCCTTCCATCTCCTTCCAGGGATGAAACTCAGGCTGTCAGGCTTAGCAGCAAATGGCTTTACCCACTGAACCATTTGCTAGCCCAGTGTCATATGTTTTAAAATGTTGGTAGGTATGCTGGACAGCTTTAGTATCAACTTGACACACCTGGGTTGAGGGAGCCTCAGTTGGGGAATGCCTCTATTGGACTGGCCTGTGGCCATGTCTGTGGGGCATCTTCTTGATTGTTGAGTGATGTGGGAGGGCCCAGCCCACTGTGGGTGGTGCCCCCCGGGGACATATGGGCCTGCTTTGCAAAAGAAGGGGGCCAGGGGAAAAAGCCAGTAAGCAGCGATCCTCCATGGCCTATGCTCCAGCTCCTGCCTCCAGTTTCCTGCCCTGAGTTCCTACCTTGGGCTCCCTGATGAACTGTGACCCAGGAGATGTAAGCTGAATAAACCCTTTCCTCCCCAAGTTGGTATTGGTCAGTGTTTTGTCACAGAGTGGAGAAACAAACTAGAACAAGGGGTATCACCAAATTGGTCACCATAAAGATTGTTGTCAGCCGCGGACAGCGATGACACACTTACTGCTCAGCCACAGACAGCACAGATGACACACGAGCTGGCTCTGTAGTCCTTACTGACCTGGTATGTAAAAGCAGTCCTCATGCTTGAGAACTCTTACCTGCTGAGCTATCTCCCAGCCTTTGAGACGAAGTCTTGCTATGTAGCTCTCAACTGTCCTGGAACATGCTGTGTAGACCAGGCTGGCCTCACACAGAGATCTGCCTATATCTGCCTCCCAGTGCTAGGATTAAAGGCATGCGCCACCAACCTGGCCTTGCAGTATTTTTTTTTTTTTTTTTTTTGTAAATAAACTTTATGTGAGAGTAATTCTCAGTCTAGAATGAGTGGAAAGAGCACAGGATGTCATGCCCCACACCCAGTTTCCCCCTTTGTTAGTGCTGTTGTGTTAGAGGGGGGCAGTTACATAGTTTCTGAGCCAGACTGACACATTAGCCACAGTGTCTAGACTTCCCTCCTCACCTTAGGTCCTGTCCATCCAGGACCCCAGCAAGATCCCATGTGACCGCCAGGCCACAGGCTTCTCCAGGCTGGATGATTCCTGGGCCCTCTCTGGTCTCTGATGGCA